GGGGGGACCAGCACCTCCAGGGGATTGCCATGCCTTCCGGCATGAGCCCTGCAACTCCAGGAATGGCCGATAGATGGCGGAAAAGGAGCAGCTAGGGAGGGACACTGTGGTCCATCACCCCCCTCCCAGGTCCTTGGGCATCTTCCTGCCTTTGCTTAGCAGGCCCTGGGTCCCACAGGGGAGGCTTGAAAGACATGGCACCCCTCTCCAAAACAGCATTTTAATTTTTATGATGCTCAGAGTTGTTTTTTTTAAACAGCAGGTCCGGTCTGACCCCATGGGTTTAATACCTGGTGCTGTTCTCCTGCAGCCTGCAACAGTCACAGTGTGTAAACCTGCTAAAACTACAGTTTCAGCGCACATGCATTAAACATATGTGCGTTTCTCCAGGGCCGGGGTCTCTAGATTCCAATAAAAGATCTCAAACGATCAACTCCATGACCCAGAAGGTTATTAAGAGTTTTTTTTTTACCTGGGTGCTGGTCACTGAGCTGGACACTTATCCTGTGTGCACTTTTCTGTTTGCATATTACATGACAATATAAAAAGTTTAAGAAAGTTTAAGAAGTAGCAGAGTGGGCCAGACTTTTCTCCTGACATCCCACTTTGTTGCACATGATTGACATGCCCCCCCCCTTTTTTTCTTGACCACAAGCCCCTAAAGGGCAGGGACTGTGCCGTCTTTACGCCCCCCAGGCCCAGTGCAGGGCTCCCTTCCCCGCAGCCTGCGGGGTCAGTACTTACTACAGATCAAGGCCACAGCCATCCGCAGCAGCTTGAATTGGCACTTCATGCCTGACCAGTTCTAGGGAAAAGGGAGAGAGTTCCATTAGTTCCACTCCTCTGCAGAAGTCTCTCGCTTAAGAAAACCTGACATTTAAAAAAGTAATCTCCATTAAGTGCTGGGTGAGGGGGTTGTGGCTTAGTAGCAGATCACACTAGCATGGCTTTGAGATTTTAGGCAATGGTAAGTTTATTACTGTCAAAAGGCTTTTTTTTTTTTTTTTTTGGACAGATTTATTATTTTTATTTATTTTAAATATTTATTGATTTTAATTTTTTTAATCCTCTCCTGAGGATATCTATTTTTTCCCATTGCTTTTCAGAGAGAGTGGGAGGGACAGAGAGAGAGATAAAAGAAGCGTCCATGTGAGAGAGACACACTGATTGGTTGCCTCCTGTACGTGCCCTGACCACAGCCTGGGATCGAGCCCGCAACTGAGGTACGTGCCCTTGACTGGAATAGAACCTGAAACCCTTCAGTCAGTGAGCCGATGCTCTCACCACTGAGCCAAACCCGCTAGGGCTTTTTAATTGATTTTTAGAGAGAAAGAAAGGGAGAGGGAGAGAGAAGGAAACATCAGTGTGAGAGTGGAACACTGATGGGCTGCCTCTTGCACACCTCACACCAGGAATCGAGTCCACAACCTGGGCATCTGCCCTGACCGGGAATTGAACCGGTGATCTTTCGGTGTACGCGATGACGTCTGACCAACCCAGCCACACCAGCCAGGGCTCAAAAAGTTCTTGAGCTGCACTAGCAGAGAAAGATAATCTAGAACTAGGGAGATCTGAGTCCCTGTCTCCTCTACACGCACAGACCACACCTGAGAGCTTGGTCCAGGGTTGCAAAGGGATGCAGGACAGCAAACCAAGCAAAGGCAAAGCAGAACCATCAGGATGACTGGAGATCTCAACATCCTGCATCTGAGGAACAGATGAAGAGAAGACCTAGGGGTCAAGTCCACTGTTATCAAGTATCAAGTGAGTTAACACAAGGAAAGGGCACATTCAGTGTAACCTGCAAGCAGAAGACTCAATAGATGAAAACTTCAGAGAGATTTTATTTTTTAACAAGAGAAAATAACCCTTTTTTTTTTTTCTCACCCGAGGATCCTTTTTCCACTGCTTTTCAGAGAAAATGGGAGAGAGAGAGAGAGAAACATCAATGTGAGAGAGACATGTCGACTGGTTGCCTCCTGCATGTGTCCCGTCCAGGGCTAGGGGTAGAGCCTGCAACCGAGGTACCTGCCCTTGACTGGAATCGAACCCAAGACCCTTTAGTCTGAGGGCCGATGCTCTAAGCACTGAGCAAAACCGGCTAGGGCGAAAGTAACCAAATTTGATACATGTGTCTCAAATACATATGTATGGGAACCCAAATACATGAGAGAATCAGAGACCCCACATGCACGAGAGGTTCAGAGATAGAAAGGGAACATGGGTATAAGACAACCTGAGCTAGGATGAGGTAAGATGCCTTGGGGGCTTCAAAGGATTGTTGCAGGATGGTAAGAGTGGGCTCTTGGTAAATAGGAGTTTGCCCTGCCCTATAGGTTGGTCAAAAGAGGTTCTCTCTTTGATAATCTGCTATTTTGGGCAAGGCCCCTAACTCAAGTTCTTCTAGGTAGGTAAGGGAGGCGCAGGAGTTCCTCTTGAGCCTGCCGCTCAATCTGCCTTTAGCTCAAAGTAATCTGCACACCACAGAGGCACATCTTGGGGTGACTCATTCTGAACCTCCACAGTTCCCTCCTCTGAAACTTCTCTGGCAGTTTCACATTCCAGAAGTTGGGTTGGCAGACTGTTCTCTATCTCATTAAACCAGTCTCAGGCTCGAGGAAAGTTCAGTTCAGTTCAACAGTTGTGTCTCATTTCAAGAGGTGCTGATGCAGGTGGATTCCCAAAGGTAGGCCTATGGTGCAAGCAATCAGGTATTTAATAAGAGGCATCTCTATGGAAACAGAAGAAAAACAAAGGTTAGTGATTGGAGCAGACTATGACCTCAGTTTCTGAGTTCAGAAGGCAGACAGTCAAAAAGATTTCTAGATGTCTGTCTCCCATCACCTTCAGACGGAGTGAAGGCAGGCAGTGACAGTCTGATAGATTCAGAGAAAGATTTTTTTTAGCTCAGGGTAAGTTTCCACCTCTAATAAGCAGAGCTGCCCAAAGATGGAATGACCCATCTTGAGGGATGGTGAGTTTCCCATCACTGAGGGGTTCAAACGGGGCTTCGCATCACTTGGAGGGGATGCTCTAGAATTGGGCATTGGAAGGGGGGTTGGCCAGATGGCCGTCAAACAAATCCCTCTTTCCCCTGAGAATCTCTGAACACTCTGAACCTCCAGAGCAGACGAATGGAGTACGATTATTCACCTTACAAAAGGATTTTTCATTTTACAAAAGACTTCGCCACAGGGTTCCTTTGAGGGGCACTCCTGCCGTGCATTCAAAGCTCTATTCCATTTACACCGGTGCGTGATGTGAGCACACACAGAATCCAGCCCGGAATCTTCCCGCAACACATCAGACCTAGGGAAGGAGGCACTGGGTGCAGCCAGGGGCTTCTGCTCCCTCCCCACCCACTCCGCCTTTGCTACCTGGCCCAGGCCCAGGCCCAGGCCCAGGCCCAGCTGAAGGGCACGTCTCGCACTCCTTTGACGTTGGGGGACACATGTCAAACTTTACAGAGGCCCTGAACACTGGCACGTACAATAACGTCTATGGAAGCTTCAGTGGAGTAAGCAGGATGCAGGGAAGCTGCCAAAAAGAGGGAGAAATCCTGAGGCACTGGGCTTCCTGCCCATCGCCTCCCTTCCCCCCATTATTCCTCACTGATGGGCAGGCCCTGCCTCACAAAAGGCAAGATGGGCAACACACGGCCCCTCTTTGGATGGGGAAGTCTAATCACTGCGCGCTGACAGGTTCTGTGCGGAGAAGCAGATGGCCAGATAACGTCCCCTCCGGGTGTCTGCCCACAGAGGAGCCTCACCGGGAGACAGGGAACAAAATGAATTTGGGCCTTGGCCAGGGTGACTCAGTTGGTTGAACGTCGTTCCATGCACCAAAAGGTCACTGGTTCGATTCCCAGTCAGGGCACATGCCTGGGTAGCCAGCTCGATCCCCAGTAGGGGGAGTAGAGGAGGCAGCCAATGGATGTTTCTGACCAATGTTTCTCACATCAATGTTTCTCTTTCTCAAAAAAAAAAAAATCAATAAAATAAAAACATATTTTTTAAAAAAGCAAAAATGAATTTGGTGCTTTCCACCGATCCGGTAACCCATTCTGAGCTAGCTCAGTCAGCTCATGGTGGGCAATCCCTCGGCTCCTCTCCAGGCGGAAATGTTAGGATGGGTAGGGCCTTGGGTCTCACCTGATGGACCATCTTCTAATGGGGACACATGCTGCCAAGCCACCAACAAAATGGCCCTCCAGTCCCTGCAACAAGGCGCTCAACACCTCCTGGGCAGCTTCGTGAAGGAGCTCTAATCACTGGAAAGTTCTTCCTGCTATTGCCTGGCCAGGCTTTGCCTCTCTGTGACATCCACCCAGGGGTCTTCACTCTCCCTTAAAAGTGACATCCCTGTTCATAGCAGTATTATTCACAACAGTCAAGTGTCCATCAACGGATAAATGGAGAAACAAAATGTGGTATATCCATATAAACGGAATATTATTCAGCCTTAAAAAGGAAGAAAGTTCTGATACGTACTATAAATTTCAATGAACATCGAAGAGATTATGCTAAGTAAAATAAGCCCGTCCCAAAAGGACAAATACTGTATAAGTCTAGTGTTGGCTGATCTCTGTCCGCTGAGGTCCATGCCCTATCTTGCCCTTGTCTGGGATCTTAGAAAGCACTGTCCATATTTTTGGCCTGGGAAGACCATTGGTGGGGTGGCTCAGAACTCATTTTTCTCTAGTGTCCTCATTTTTAAATCTGAGAGAACAACAGTGCCCATCTCACTTCCCTACCTCACTGGGCTGCTGTGCAGGTGAAATGAGTTAACACATGGAAAGCACAAAGAACACTGCCTGTCACGTGGTAAGCACCATGTAAGTGTTTGATACTAGTATCTAGCTGAGGCAAAGATGGTGAGTCCGCCCTGCACAACAGCTTTAAAACTTCTGAACCCCAATGACTCTGGGTGGAGCCAGGAGCTCCAGCTTGCCACAGCGCGCCCCAGGCCAGCTTCATTTACAATACCTGCCTGGCCCCCGAAGGCACTGGCGTCTGCCAAGCCGATCCAGCAACACCCTCTGTCCCGCACCTTAGAGAAGAAGAAACTGAGGCTCCAGGAGGCCTAGTTCAAGGTCATACACAGTGAATTAATGGCGAGATTGAAAGGACTCCCAGTCCACACTTCTGGGACAGGGTCACGTTGTCTGTCTGTGCTGTTTGTCCCTGCTGGCTGCCCCGGCTGCCCTCAAAGCTGAGCAAATGTCAATAAACGACCAGACTCCCAGCAGCGGAGGAATTAAACTAAAAAGTCACCCCTTCCCACCAGCTGCCTCTTTTTCCGGACCCATAATTCCCTCTAATAAAATGAGTAAAGTTAAACAACAGGAGAGAAGAAAAAACATCTCACACACGGCCGGCACTGCTGCTGCTATAAACGCTGAAAAGCCTGCAGGCCCCTGGGGAACACAAATCTTTGGCAGGCCCTATAATTTCATTCTCTCCAAGAGCCCTGTAGGGTGAGATGGTAACTCACCTCGGGCAAACAAGGCAGGGGCCAGTCCCCTAGGCGTCGTGCTCACCCAACCAGTTAAGGGCTCAGAGGCTGACACCCGGGCAGTGAGCTTCCCTTCCATATCCCGGGTAGAAACAGTTTCTCATTCAATGACTTCAACAGGAAATGGGAAAGCATGACACATAAATTAGGGGGTGATTATTTGTTCTACAAAAAGATTTCTACATAATAAAGTGAGCCTTTGAGAAATTTTTTGGTGTCATTCAGACAACAATGTTGTCTTGTGCTTTGACAATATGGTTCAATTTGCGAAAATTCAGATCTTCATCATTTAAGGAAAACACCTATCATATGGAACAGAGTGTGAGTAAATACCTGGCTTATTTAAAAATGGAACTCTGGCCTAGGGGCCCCAGCAAAAGGCAATTAATAAATTATTCAATTATGTGTATCTTTATGCTTCCTGTGTTTAAAATAAGAAGCCTTGATTGTGGGTCTTTTATGCCATCCAGATCTTTTGTTGAAATGGTTCCTGAGCTTTGATCCCTGGGTGTAAACTGCAAGCTTTCTAAAACTCAGTGTTTTTATGGAAAATATGACATACTTTGATTTAAGGTGGAATCTCTCATTTAAACAGGCAGTCCTGAGAACACAAAGGTCAAACACTTTTCCCTTATGTATCTAAAGCAAAAAGGGCACATTTTCTAATTTTCCTCTGTACAGATACAGGCAGAACTTATAAAAAAAATGATATGTATACAAAAATATATAAACACACACAAGCGCACACACAGGATCTCCCAGTTATACGGTGACTTGCCATATGGGAAGCATTTTCTTATCTATGTTTTCATGTCTTTCTCACAACTATCTTGTGAAGGAGGGATTACAGGTGAGAGAGCTGAGGCCTTGAAAAGTTAAGGAACTCACCGCTATTACACGGTGACGCTCATACTCAAATCCACATTTTCTGTCGTTCAAGTCCATACTTTTTCCCCTTTCTGTTCTGACAAGGTGTTTGACTGTGTACACATACACAGGCCAATCTTCATTTCGGAATTAAAATCAATGGTATATTATTTGGCTGAACCACATGAAACTGCCAATGTTTAAGTGCTTCTGACCCACAGAAACGCCAATTTCATTTAGTTGGACCCAACGCGTCTCTGAATTGCAGGTCCCTGAGCTCATTCCGGTAAAGGTGGCCTCTTGACGAAAGGAAATCAACCTCTTTAAATGAGAAAATGAGATCTTTTCACTGTCAAATAAGCCCCTCACACCATTCTAGGGAAAGGCTTCTGCATGTCACGCTCTGGGGACTGCAAAGCTCCCCGCTGGCCGGGGAGAGCCGTGCCGAACCATGTCCTTCTGGAAAGGCGACGGGCCCTGGGACAGGGCTGCTCATCTCCACCGCCACAGGCATGGGCTACTTGCCAGAAGGAAGCGTGAGCTGGAACAAAACCGCTTTCACACCTCCCCGCTCAACCCCCTGCCCTACCCCTGGGTCCTCGGCTCTCAGCTCTCGGGTGGTCTGCCCTCGCCATGGGGCCTCGGGGCCTCAGGGCTGTTTCCCAGGCAGGGGGAAGGGCTGGAGACGGGCATCTTCATGAACTCCTGTTTGTTTCTCCTTCCCCTGTTCTCTGAGTGGTGCCTGCTCACCCCCTTCCGCACGCACGCATCTTGGAGGGGGAAGGAGGGGGGTGGTTAGCATTTCCTTCCCCTACAGGAGGAATTGGGGCAGGGGGAGGGGGGAGTGGAGGAGGCAGAATTCAGAGGAAAAGCTGTGTCTGGGGAAAGCGGTGGCACTGATACAGAGTGACCCATTTAAGAGGGCCATGTGAGGTGGCACCGTGCTCCAGGTTCTCAGCAGACCAAGCTGTGTGTGTGCGTGCGCACGTGTGTAACATACGTGGGCGAGAGTGGCAATAACCAAGATGAAACAGGAAGATTTGGGAACTCCCAAAACTGTTGTAACTGAGTACTCACACCTGCCACGTGGTGGAGATAGGGATGGAGCGGGGAGGCAAGGGCAGGAGGACCCCGAAGAGAAGCTATGCCCTTTCTGGACATTGTTCATTCATTCACTCATTCCTCATTCACCGAAATTAGTGGCATTATCTACCAGGGACTCCTCCTTAGGCCTCCAACTTCAGACTGCGTCCAAAACAAGGAAGCAGTCTCCCTTGGCCTCCTCTGAAACTGTCAGATGATTCTACTTTCTACCCTGGTCTCTTCTGCGAGGGTCAGGGAATTAATGCTTATACCAACTGGTTATTTTCACTTCGGGACGATTAATCTCACATATCATCCCATTTCACAGATGTAGAAACTGAGGCACAAAGCAGTTAAGTCATTTTCCCAAGGTCACCCTTTGGGAAGTGAGTGGCTGGAATTCAGATCTAGGCTTTCTGGCTCCATAGTTCACACTCCTAACCATTAAACTATATGGCCTTTCAGGAAGAGGCAAAGCAGAGCGTGAGAACTGGGATGGCGGTGCTCCGCCACCGGGCCAGGCTGACGTGGAACGACACTAGCATGGTTTTCAGGAGATGTGGTTTCAAGTCCTGATTTTGCCACAAAGCTGACTGTGGCTTTAGACAAATCACTTAACGTCTCAGAACCTTCTTCTTAACTTGAGAATTTTGGTGCTATGACCTCTAAGGGCCCTGTATTGTTAACAGTCTATGACAAATAATGAATTACAATTAGGATGTGTGCTAGTGGTCAAGAATTTTAACACTTTCTAAAGTGGGAAAGAGGTGAGACAGGGAGACGGGCCAGTTCTCGGCAAAGCCATGGACGGAGAAAATATGAATCGTATACGGAGGGGGGGGCCTCATTTGCAATGGGCCTGCAGAGGGTGAGGAGCGTCTGTGAACTGTGCTACCAGCTCGGTCTGCCCGGCGCTTGCTGGGCCTGGGCTGGAGCATGGGTGGGGATCCCAAACCCTGCTCCAGGGCCTAGGGACAGGTGGGGGGAGGCCCCGGAAGGCATGCTGGGGCCTGGGGTGCTCACCATCACGATGTTGGCCAGGTGGGCAGAGACGAGTGCATACACCCCTCCAGAGGAGCCCACGACCGGCGCAGTCATGTCAGCCACAGACACCGCCAAGGATCCTGGGGCAGAGAGAGAGCGAGAATTCAAGAATGCGGGAGGCGGCTCCCCAGTCCCGCCTCAGACCTTCAGATGCTGCAGCCTTTCGGGGAAGACCCCAGAGCGAAGGGCTCCTTCTCTTCCCCCCTTGATCCCATGTCGCCTTGGAGCTCCCTAAGGATTACTGTATGGCTGAAAGAACCATTTGATTCCAACTTCTCCTTTTACCGTTGAGAAACAAAGACTCAATAAGAGACAGAAAGTGAACATCTGTCTCTCAATCCAAACTCTGCCTTCCAGTGTGCCACCTCAGGGTTCTGGAGCAATAACAAAAATTACAGGAGTAGTTACTGCAGAATCAGGTCCCACTTACGGGGCACCGTGTGTCAGACACTGGCCAAGCATTTTACATCTTTCTGCCCTTGAACTCTTAGACAGCCCTTTGAGGATGGTGCTAATAGCCTCGTGGCAGAGGCGAAGAGACTGAGCCCAGAGTCATCTGGTGGGAAGAACCAGAACCTGCACTGGAGTCCAGGTCTGCTTGTCGCAAAGCCTGTGCTCTTAGCCTTGATAGCAGCCAGTCCTCCACCTGGGACCGAAGTCAACCTCCACCCTCTACCTCACTCTCTCTGCTCAACAGCATCTAGAAACCCGCTTAGATCACCTCCAACCTTCCTCCAGCCATGAGATCACAAAAGGAAACAGGGTTTCCAGAGCAGATGGGGTTTCTCTGGAGGAAAAAAAAAATGCCCTTGAAAAGTCCCCAGGAAGCGAGAAAAGAGATGGTGTCATACCCTCTGGGGAAAAGAAGGGTATAGACTCTTGGTCCCGGGGATGACAAACTTTTGTCCTAGGAGGAAAGCCGGGCAGAGAAGAGATGGGAAATGTATTGTTCTGGTCTCATTTGAGTGTGATCAATGCTTTGGCTTCCAGGGAAGGACATGGGAGACTAAAAATAACTGGGAGGTAGAGCCCAGGGCTGGGAGGATGAGAGGTAGCTGGCCTGGGTAAATGTGCAGAAATCACCCCTGGAAAATGCCCGCAGGCCCATGAGCCAATTAGCTGCTGCCAGGGTGGAGAGAGGGGGGACAGGCAGAAGGCCAAATTCTGCAGGTTCCGTAGGGGTGGAGGGTCCACTACGTAGGAGGTGGCTGAGCCAAGCCCAGGAACCAGAGCATCTGACACCCTGGGCACGGAGAGCCCCTGTAACATCATCTGCCTTCTCCCCACATACCCGCCACCCACCCCACCTCCCGCAAGGTTCCTCGGTTCACTGAGGTCCTTCAAAGAAGAGATCCCCACAACAGATTCTGCGTCTCAAGGGGGATGCAATTTCCCAGGAAAAAACAAACTATCAACTGAGAACTCCCATGTCCTTCTGCCCTCCCAGGGCAACTATAAATCTTTCCTCTCCCTTTCATGCCTTCCCTCAGGCTTTAATTAGGTATTGATCTATTGTCAGATAACTTTTTTTTTTTTTACTGCCTAGCCACGGGGTCAACCTTATAGAAGTGGGGGGGGGGAATCCCAATGTGGCAAACAGACAGGCAGTGGGATCTACATGACAAAGAATTCCCACGCTCTCCTGGGGTGCAGGCTGAGAAGGCTGCATTGCAGGGCGCCGAGGGCTGGCTGTCCAAGCAGCCTGCGCCTCATTAATTACAGTTGGGACAGAGAAAGCCTCCCTGGGCTGGCCACTTTGCTCAGCACAAGTCCCTACAAACAGGCCCGGATTCTGTTCCCTGGGCCTCCCCAGTGTGGTCCACCAGGAGCACTGGCAACCTTGGAGCCCCCAGGGTCCAGCCTCCACACACTGACCTTTCCCTCACCCTGCCCATGGATCGGAATCCTGGCCCCAGGGCCAGAGGTCAGCCTGGGATTGTGGAAGAAGCATGGAATGGGGGCGTGGCTGGCTAGTTGTGGGACCGTGGGCACAGCCCCTGAATTCTTTGGGCTTCAGTTTTCACATCTGTGAAATGAGAAGCTCTAAGGCTTTCCAACTTTTGAGCAGTGAAACCCCTTTTTCAAAGGAAACCTTACCCACATCCTACCCCATGGAGAGCAGCTCTGGCTGAATGGGGGTGGGGCCTGGGGAGCAAAGTTTGCCACCCACTGGAGGGGACATCAAAGGTCCCTTTCAGATGAGAAATTCAATAATTCGAGTTCTGGCCTCAGATCTTGGTGTGAGGCTCAGATCCTGGTTCTAGCATGTTGAAGGTAACAATCTGGACCCACCTACCCTCCCTTTGTGGTACAGACTTCCCCCAAATGACTGCAGATTAGCCCTGGACCAGAGGAACTGGGAGAGATCAATTTCAAACGTGGGCATGTATGCATATCAATATAGTAACAAAGCCATCCCAGGGCAGGAAGCCTCGGCAGGCAGGATTCCACCTCACGGATAAACAGTTCAATAAGGCCAGTATTAATTCCACAGAGGTCATTAATGCCACGGGAGCACAGGACTGGGAGAGAGCGGCAAGCTGGAGAGACACACCACACCTCTGCACAGCATCAGACCAAAGTCTAGTCAGGGCTATGAATTCCACCCCCAAATCCTGGGTGCACGCCAGAACACAGATAAATTGGTGACTTTGCCATAATGCACAGCTGGGATAATTTTAGCCTGGAAAATGTAAAGCAGGTGCTCTCCCATATCTCCCTTGGCCATTAAAAAAAAAATCCAAATAAAAATTGGCAGAACATCTCCCTTTAAGCAATGTGACTTTATTTGTTTATATACTCTTTTATTTATTCCACAAATATTTGTTGCTTAACATGGGCCAAACCCTGCATTAGGCGCTGGGGTTGCACACGTGACTTATAATCTATATAATCTATAATAAAAGCTTGGCAGAGCATTTGAGATACTGGTTTTTAAAATATTTAAATGGTTAGCCATTTAATTGTTAACCAGAAGTGAAATACACATGGGCCTCCAACACTGGTCAGAAGCACAGGGCAGAGGAAGAGTTTCCACCCTGGGTCTGGAAACTGAACGAGTCATTTCACGGTTCTGAAGTGCCAGTAACATGGGGGTGACAGTGCCCGCCTCTCTGGAAGGTTGTGATGGATAGAGCAGAGAGCACGTGTGAACCCTTTATCACATGCCTGGGGTCCTGGCTGTGCTCGGCAGAAGCTAGCTCTCACTGTTACAAAACGTGACGGCCTTGGATTTGGAATATTTTCATTGGGCAGGAGTTAAAGAGCAGGGCCCGATGTCTATTAAGACCTCCCTTGGTTTCTGACAATTAAATTATCTGCACAATGGAGAAACCTGCCTTTTGGTTCTCATGACATGGTAGTGGTTTCGAGCACAGCATGTGGGGTTAGACAACCTGGATTTGAGCTCAGCTCTTGCCTTCCGACCATGTCTTCTTGGGCAAGTCACTTAGGCTCTCTGAGCCTCGGTTTCTGTATCTGTAACAGGTGAAGGGTAATAGTACCTGCCTCGTGGAGTTTTTGTGAGCATTACATAAAATATGGCCTGCACAGGGCAGGCACTTGATTACTGGCTGTCCAGTCATCTAGTGAAAGGGTCCCCTTTTTGAGCAGAGAGGGAGGGAGGGGTGCAGGCAGATCAGTCACTTCAGTCTTGGAGATGAGTAGCATGACATGTTGTGATGAGAGTTCCCTTGAGTCGGAGCCATGACATACAGATAGCACACATCGTTGCTTTGTGACAGCCCACACCCTTGTATTCAGTCTGTGTGTGCTCCGTCCCGCTCTGCACTGGCGTCGCTGGGAAGATACCTGCACTGTCTCCCTGCTGTGTGTTGTCTGGTGTTGGTGGGGCCTGAGTCATTCGGAATCTTATTTCTGTCTTCTGGGTTATTGGCACTCCCATCTAATTGACTACTAACTGCAAATGTTTTGAGTGTCTTTCCTGTTCCTCCCCATTAACCATCTGGGGCTCTGAGTACTAGGTATGGGAAATGTGGCTATAAATCCCCAGATGTCAAGACTCGGGGCTGTGTGGGTGGCTGAGTAAGTCTAGCACACAGAGATGCTCGTTAGACTTTTGTTCAAGATGTGGAAGGTGCTGGATTCTGGGACAAGCTGGTGTGGGTGCTGTCCAAGGTGGCCACATTTTAAACCTCAACACACAGAGGAACGAAGGAGCCGCACAGGACCAATATCCAGGCTGAGGGTTCACAAACTAGCAGACCAGCCCTGCCCCGTGGGGGTGAGACCCTTCCCCTTTCCATTCCTGAGGCCACTTCAGTTATTCCCAGGGTCCCTGCCTGCCTGTTGTTTACAAGGCTGATGGGGCCCCACTCTCCTGATGACAAGTTTAATGCTGCTCAGAAAGGATTAAGATCTTACTTAAACATACACACAAAGCTCCCTTGGGCACAGCTGTCAAGGTGAAGAGCTGAGGCGGCAAACCTTGTTATAAAAAATCCAGCAATAAAGTTGGAAACATCATGAGAGAGATTTCTCTGTTCAGAAGCCTGGCTGGTGCAGACTTTCCCTACACAAATCTGCTCTGCTCTCCCCAGCTCACCCCAGCCCGCCTCACCTCTCACTGGGGAGGGGGCAGTCTGGCTGCCCCTGTGCTTAAGGCCACGATCACCTGCCACGTGAGCTGAGTCAGGGGGGCCCCAGAGTCCCCCAGCTGGCATGAATGTTTGCTACCTTTTAAGCCAGACTCTCTCCCATCAGCAGTGAAGTCAATCAAGGGGCCAGTGGCCAGCTGGGCAGAGGCAAAGTCTCCCTTTGGGTACCGGTACTGGCCTGGCCAGGGAGGTACCTGGATTCACCCAAACCTTGAATGTCCTCACAGGGATCTCACTGTGCCCTAGCACAGTTTATGTAACACTGTTACTCCATTTGTCACCTCACTCCACCATCCTAACGCCCTGCAGGCAGATCTTATTAGTTCCCTCTTAACGCTTAACGGGGCCAAGAGGGGTTACGGAATCTCCCCAAGCTCACACAGCTACGACATGGTGGTACAGAAACTGAAAGTCTGGTCAGTCTGCCTGTTCAAAATCCTGCGCTCTACTCTCCTTTGCCATCACATGCCTCCCTCTCTGGGTGGCAGTCCCCTTTCTAGCCTCCTCAGGGAGGTGGGGAGATTTGCCTGGAGCTTTGGTGATGAGGGTCCTGGGTCCCCTGAAATCGTGGGCTTGCCTGACCTCATGGGAATTCCCAGCTGCCCGGGGGAGGTTTCTCCTAATGACATAGGGCCCATCTGCCTACCNCTGAAATCGTGGGCTTGCCTGAATTCCCAGCTGCCCGGGGGAGGTTTCTCCTAATGACATAGGGCCCATCTGCCTACCTGCCACAACACCGGCCACGTAGACAAGCCCAATGCGGGTTGCTCCATGCACCATCTCCAAGGGCACCCCCACCAGGAGCTGCAGCACCACGTTGAGTCCCAGGTGTTCTATCCTGTACAGAGAGACCACACTCCATTCATTCATCTACTCATCCATTCATTTATTCAACAAACACTATGCCAAGATGCTGGNTGCTGGGGATCCAGCAGTGAACGAGACCCTATACCTACCTGCCTTTGAGGAGCTCATGGTCTGGGATGGGGGGTGGGCAGGAACTNGATGCTGGGGATCCAGCAGTGAACGAGACCCTATACCTGCCTTTGAGGAGCTCATGGTCTGGGATGGGGGGTGGGCAGGAACTACAAAAGAGACAGATCATCTTGGAAAGAGCGTTCCTTCCATACCATTCCCACCATCTGAGACAAGAACACGTGCAGGGCCTGGGCGGTAACTGGCAGTGTCTGCACTTGCNATTCCCACCATCTGAGACAAGAACACGTGTAGGGCCTGGGTGGTAACTGGCAGTGTCTGCACTTGCTGCAGTGAAAGATGCTACCTGTGGTCAGATCCAGCGACTCCACTGGCTGACACATGAAAAGCCAAGGCTCAGAGAGGGCCACTGACTAGCTCAGAGTCACACAGCTGGTTAGTGGCCAGGCTAGTAGCACAGCCCAGGTCTCTGATGTACAGGCCCTGCTCCATTCACCAGGTCACGAGGGCATGCTGACTTGCTACTGTATCTGTAAGAACTACTGATATTTAAAGAAAGATGTTTCCAAAACAAGTGCAAACATTAAAGATAACTCTTAGAGCTTAATCATTCAGTTATCACTTAAAATCTCACAGGGGAGGGTTCTCCTTCCTTGTATGGAAGGGACCCTTTCTACCTGAAACTCTGAGGGTCGGGTTCCTTGCCCTGAGAATGCCTTCCTTTTTACGCTATCATGTGACCAAATCTTATTGCTAAATGGTGTCTAGCTGAGTACATATGTTACTAGAAAATATGGTAACATTACTATTATTACACTGATGTGTGCTTTCAAACTTACAAAGCTCTTTAATATCCATTATCTCATATAAACCGAGCCTACAGCAGCTGGATGGCTCTCTGGGGATGCTCAAGTTATAGGGCAACAGAGCATGTAACAAGAGGTCTGGATGTGGCCTGGTCTGCTGCATGCAGGGCACGTGGGCACCCGCTGACCCAGGAGGGCGGCTGGGAGGTAGCGCATGTCTCAGGTCGGGCCCTGTCCCGAATTCCCACCATGCCTGGAATCTTCTAGCTTCCCAGCCCCCTACTGTGCCAGCCAAAGGATTCTACATTAGAAATGTCAGAAAAAATTATTGAAAAGGAGCTGGGGGTAGTGTCAGACTCATAGACAGAGAGACCTCGGAGGTTTTCTGGCCCTGTCTCCTTGGTTTACAGCCTAGAACTTGAGACCAAGAGAGGCCAGGTGAGAGGGACCTAGAGCTCCTGCTTCCCAATCCAACTTCTTTCTTCTCTACCACAGTGACTTCTGAATTCACCGGCCCAGAGTGTGTCCCTGAGTAATAGGTCACTCTGCTGGGCTTTCCCTAGATGCTGGCCAGCTGTCCCTATCTCCTGGTTACTGCAGCACCAGTCAAGAGCCCCTCCTTCCAAGTCAGAGGCTGGGAGAATCCTCCCAGGGCTCTCTGGCAGGCACAGCTTCAGCAGAGAGAATGGCCAGAGAAAGGCCTGAGACCCCTCCCCCCCCCGCGCCCATGGCCTCAGCTGAGAGCATCTGTACTCTGGCCACTCTGGTCTTTCAGCTCTCAAAGGCAGTGAATGGACTTGGAGGCCTTGGAGACACTGTCCATTCTCCTTCCTTGCCCCAAGGGATCGGGGAAGGCCAAAGGGCAGTCCTGCAAATAAGGCAGGCAGACCCAACTCATGTGCAGCCACAGGCTTGGGCAGCCTGGCCAGGGAAGTCCCCAGTTCCTGTTGTCTCTAGATCTTGACTCGGGAGAAGACTGACACGTGACATGCCTCCCTCACTCTGCTCCTTAACCCTGGGAGATCAAAGCCTGGGACACAGCAGGCGAGGCAAACAGCCTGTGCCAACAGTTCCCTCTGGCTCAGGGTGGAGGCATCACTGGCAACCATCAGAATGCCTCCTCACCCCAACTCCTCCCCAGCAGCTGCAGCCCATTAGGAGTTGTCCTTTGTGCTGCTTTAGAGGCTCAGCAGGAAGAGAGGCTCACAGTGGGGCTCCCTCTTGGCCACTGTAGGTCTTTCTCCTGAGGAACGAGAATGATGGAGTTTCGGGGGCCAGAGAGATACTCTTCCCATTTCCAACCCCAGGGACAGGCACTCCCCAGAGCTTCCCTAGGCTAACAGTGAGCTCCTTCGCCTCTCTCCCTGGAAAGGCTGTAAAAGACAGCATAGAGGTCTGGTGTCCAGGGACACTGCTTTTCCAACTCAGCACTTCTACTATATAAAAATGGTCTCCAGCCAAGAGAGTGCTCCTCAAGGGACTGGACCTGGGTAGTCGGTCACCTGCCTTATCGCAGGGTAAGAGGGACCAGTGAGAACTGACTGCACTCCAGCCCTAACAAGGCCACAGGGCTCTGTAAACAGAACTGTAAGTATTGCCAAAATTCCTCAAGAAGACTTTCACCACGTATGGAGAACACTTTGGGAGGAAGGCAGTTTCAATAAATCTGTGCTGCATTTCACTGATGGGGGCACTCACACATGTACAGCTTATGGACAATGACACTTGGTAGCTGATCACATTTCCCTTTATGCTTCGGCCACTAGGAAGCTCAGGTGGTAACCCACCTCTAGCAAGTGCATAGACTCACATGCTATGGAGGTTTGTGCTGATTTCACTGTGGGGTCTGAGCATTTTCCTCCATTTTCCCTTTCCCATACACTCTCAATAACTCATGTATTTTGGTATTAGATGAGTTTCAAGAAGCCACCTCCAATCCTGTGTCCCGAGAGATAAACTAAAAAATATATTTCCGCCTGGCCGGTGTGGCTCAGTGGTTGAGCATCGACCTAGGATCCAGGAGATCACAGTTCGATTCCCGGTCAGGGCACATGCCTGGGTTTCGGGCTCGATCCCCAGTTGGGGCGTGCAGGAGGCAGCCGGTTAATGACTCTCTCGTCATTGATGTTTCTATCTCTCTCTCCCTTTCCCTTCCCTCTGAAATGAATAAAAATATTTTTAAAAATCTATCTACTTCCATCCAGGCTATGCGGGCCACTTATTTTTCCATAGGGACTCCTGATAGAGCGCAAGGCGGCGGGTACTCACCCCGCATGCATGAAGATGTACGTCAAGTAGCGCCAAGCCTGCGCTCGCAGCTGGGGGTGGTAAACCAGGGAGTTCTGCAGGTACCGAGGATGCGTCACCTGCAGCACAAACTGATCCAGTGACACTCCATTGTAGAGGAAAAAGGCAACCTGGACGAAAGCACAGGATGGAGAGGGCCTGTTACTAAGTGCAAAGCTGCCTGGGAACCCCTCTGGCACTAACATCCGGAACCCTTACTGGAAGTTGTCATCTTTCCTTCTCAGAGAATGAGGGACACCCCACCCCTATGGCCGGCACTCAGCCGAGCCTTCCACCAGCTCTTACACCACTTCTGTTGGATTATTTTGTGTTAGATGTTCACGACATGGTCACATGATCTCTGCCCACGCTTACTTGGTGCTAAGCAGGAAGGGTTTGGAGGATTGTAAACTTTAATTCCAATAACAATTCACATACCCATTTGGGGGATAAGGCAATTCTACATAAGCCGACTTTTAAAAAATTATGGTAAAATACATACACTATGCGATTTACCATCTAAGTCAGTTTTAAGCATGCAGCTCAGTGGGCATGAAATACATTTAAATTGTTAGGCAACCATCACCACCACCCACCCACAGAAGTTGGTTTTCATCTTGCAAAATTGAAACTAGTAACCCATTAAACGTCAGCTTCCCATTCTCTTTCCCCCAGTCTCTGGCAACCACCATCCCACTTTCTGTCTCTGAATTTGGCTACTCTAGGTACCTCGATTGGCTTATATAACTTAGCATAATGTCACCAAGGTTCAGCCCTGTGGTCGATTAGGCCAAATTGACCTTCCTTTTCTAAGGATGAGTGACATTCCATTGTATCTATAAACCACATTCTGCTTCTCTCTCACCTGCTGATGAACACCTGGGTTGCTTCCACATTTTAACGCCTGTGAATAGTGCGTTACAAACATGGGTGTACAAGTATCTCCCTGAGTCCCTGCTTTCAATGATTTTGGGTGTATACACAGAAGTGAAATTGCTGGGCCATGTGGCAATCCGATGTGTGATTTTCTGAGAAACCACCGTACTATTTCCCATAGCGGCTGCACCATTTTATACTCCAACAGTGAATGCACAGGGTCCCAATTTTTCTGCATCCTTACCAGCACCCCACGAAAGTAAACTTTGCAAATGACTGAAACATACTTATTTAAGCCCTAAAAAAGTCCTTTTTTTCTGGAACTCTTTCTAAAATGTGTCATTCATGTCCCTGTGTTCCTCATCAGGGTATGTGCACAATCTTTTAAGGATGTGCCCTGGCCAGGAATCGAACCAGCAACCTTTGGTGTACCAGCCGACGCCCAACTGAGCCACACCAGCCCGGGCTCAGGTATGCTTCTAAATTTTGTTTTGTTCTTTCCCAGATGCCAGGTTGTCAGCAGGTTGCTGACCAGGTATTCCAACCAGTAGTGGGTCCCTTCTATTTTCTCTCTGTTGTGGAATCAGAAAACCTGGTTTCTAGAACTGTATGTAAAACAAAAACCTTGGGCTTTTGTACAGGGACTTTGAAACAGTTATTTCAACATTTTCTTCTAGATTGGTAGTTTGAGTTACAAATTTGGAACCAATCTAGACACAAAATCTGACTTCTCTGGATAACTTCGAATGCATTAATTGAATGTTTTTGTTCCCGGTTTCCCTATCTGGAAATAGGGATGTGAATGCCTACACAACCAGGGTGGTCAAGAGGCTTAAAAGAGATAAAATACACGAAGACCTGCTGGGTGCCTGGCCTGCAATCCGTGAAGGCAGTTGCAATTAGTGTTAAGTTAGGACTTCCTGGGCTGAGCCTGGAATGGCTCAGGCCCCCCAGCAGCTGGACTCTCCTGGGCTCTCTGGGGAGCTGTTCTGTCCACCTAACAGGATGCGGGTGGCCTGGCAACAAATACAGCTTCCAAGGCAGCTCGTTATTATTGGTCCTCAAATAGAAGTTAATAAATAGACCAACACAGTAAGCATTTGGAGGAGTCCAAGAATATCTCAGAAAAATCGCAACTTCAACGTGTACTTGGATGAAGCCTTAACAACAGAGGCGCCTTGGCCTGCAGACCAGCTATTCTCATTTAGGAAAAAAGAAGAATGCCATGAAGCTTAACGATCCTGCCGTTTGATTAGGAACTTTATAAGAACATACGCAGGGGTGGTAATGAGGCCCGTGGCTCTGGAAGAGAAACAGGAGAGGTTATAAAACACCGAAGGGAAGCCGAGTATCCATTCCAGAGCTGGGGTTTGGGGGTCCATGGGTTCTGAGGTTGAACAGCCAACAAAATTCAGAGTTCCTCACACATGGGCACTGGCCGGTGTGGCTCAGTTGGTTGAGCGCCATCCCATGCACCGAAAGGTCGCCGGTTTGATTCAGGGTCAGGGCACATACCCAGGTTTCAGGTTTGATCCCTGGTAGGGGGCATGTGGGAGGCACCCAATTGATGTCTCTCTCTCCCCCCCCTTCTTCTCTCTCTGAAATCAATAAAATCCGCCCTAGCCAGTTTGGCTCAGTGGTTAGAGCGTCGGACTGCAGACTGAAGGGTCTTGGGTTTGGCTCTGGCCAAGGGCACGTACCTCAGCTGCAGGCTCGATCCCTGGCCCCCAGTAAGCGCGCGAGTGAGGGAGACAACCAATCAATGTCTCTCTCTCTCATCGATGTTTCTCTCTCTCTGCCTTCCACTCTCTGAAAAAGCAATAGAAAAAATATCCTCAGATGTGGATTCAAAAAATAAAAATAATTAAATCAATAAAAACCTATAAAAAAAAGTAAGGGGTGCCTTTGGATTCTGTTGCATACAAAAGGAGGGAGACTTTCAGAATAACAATAGGTCTGAATGATTCCCTAAGGGGAGAGTGTTCTTTCAAAGTCTCTGAAGCCCACATTCACCTGTTCATAAACACTCCCTCCCGCACGTATTTGCGTGAGGCCTTTGTGTTCCACTCTCTGGCTCAGGAGGCAGGCCTGCCTGTTCCTGTTGGAGGCCCGAGGGGCAAATGACATTACTTGGAAAGAAACTAAAATAAATTGGTTGTAATGAGTTAATCCGAGGAACTCCCCCAAATCAGTGAACTTATTACATTGTTTTTGTTACTGTTGTTTCGGTGGGGTGGTCATATGGGGATTCTGCTGCAGGGAATATTGCTTGAAGTAATAATTTTTGGGATATCTTTAGGGTCCAGGAAACATGACAACACTGCAGGCCCCGTAACAGGGCCTGACTTGCAATGACAACTGCTACCGGCTCCTCAACCATGGCCTTTTGGTGGAGAAGATGCTGCCCTTCCCCTCACGATCTCAGACACCCTCTTGGCCCCCGGCTGTGCNCAGAATAACAATAGGTCTGAATGATTCCCTAAGGGGAGAGTGTTCTTTCAAAGTCTCTGAAGCCCACATTCACCTGTTCATAAACACTCCCTCCCGCACGTATTTGCGTGAGGCCTTTGTGTTCCACTCTCTGGCTCAGGAGGCAGGCCTGCCTGTTCCTGTTGGAGGCCTGGGGGGCAAATGACATTACTTGGAAAGGAACTAAAATAAATTGGTTGTAATGAGTTAATCCGAGGAACTCCCCCAAATCAGCGAACTTATTACATTGTTTTTGTTACTGTTGTTTCGGTGGGGTGGTCATATGGGGATTCTGCTGCAGGGAATATTGCTTGAAGTAATAATTTTTGGGATATCTTTAGGGTCCAGGAAACATGACAACACTGCAGGCCCCGTAACAGGGCCTGACTTGCAATGACAACTGCTACCGGCTCCTCAACCATGGCCTTTTGGTGGAGAAGATGCTGCCCTTCCCCTCACGATCTCAGACACCCTCTTGGCCCCCGGCTGTGCTGAGGCCGAGCGGCCCCTTCCCCACCCCGGTCCTTGCCTCCAGCAGCGTGACCGTGATCATGAACCAGGGCGGGGGGCAGCAGGTGTAGCTGTCGTAGTACCACTTCCGGTCAATCTCGCGGGGCAGGGTCTCGTAGGCCACGTGGCGGATCAGCCGCTGGGACAGGTTCAGCCCTTTCTCCTCCAGCAGGGCCTTGCTGCAGAGCCTGCGGTTCCCCTGCAGGATGGCCTGGCGGAAGCTGTTGGACCGCTTGTTGCTCATCTGCACAGGAAACAGGATGGGGGGACAGGGTCAGAACCAGGTTTCAGGGGAGCCCTGATCCATTTCCCAGGCAGCGAAATCCTGAGACTAACCAGGCTAATCCCACCTTTCTATAATAGGTCACGAGAAGCAATATTCACTTCTGTGTCAGGGGTTGTTCTAAGCACTTCACATGTTGGTTCATTTGATACAACTAGTCTACCTGTTACTCCCAATCTACTAGATGCGGCAACCAAAGCACAGAGAGCTTTAAGAACCCATCAAGTTCAAACCCAGTAGGGCTCCTGAGCCAGTATTCATATAGTCACTATATCTTCTTCCCATCCACCCATCTCTCATCCATACATCACAATTGCCTGAGCAACTACTAAGTGTCAGGCACAGTGCCAGACACAGGGGATACAGTGGTGCTCAAGACAGGTAAGTAACCAGCAATTGTGGTTCAGAGTCAAGACTGCTGTAGGAACACACAGGATGGAGCCCAACCTGGTCTGGGGGTGGTCAGGGAGCACTTCCTGGAGGAGGTGGTATCTGAGTCAGAACTGAAGGATGAGTAGGACTTAGCATTCTCATAAACACTAGTTTGGGAAGAGGTGGGCAGGCCCTGCTGACTTCCCCAGAACCAGAACCCAAAGCTGTGTGTGTGAAAGGTCCCCACTCCTGAGTGCCTTCAAGGGACCTGTAATGCTTGGGGAGCCCAGGGACTGGCTGTAGAGCCCAGCCTAAGGACTGACCCTACCCTTGGCAGCCTGAGGGTGACACAGTAGCGCCCTGGCTGCCTCATCCAGCAGTCAGCCTGGCTCCCGGAGATTAGAGACAGCCTTGCTGACTTCCATCTTCCTGAGGCCTTTGTAGCCTCCCACCTGCCCTCCACGACCACATTCCAGACCTTGACTATGGGGAGATGTCCTAGAGGCATAGTCTTCCCAACCCCAGATCACACCGCACTGTCTGGGTGGCTGTCCATGGTAGCTGGGGTGGGGACTATCAACATATTCCTGGGACTGTGGGCCCAGCAGTGGACATAAAGCTAAACGTGGAGGCAGGAGTTCAGAGAGGGCTGGCCAGGTGAACCAGCACAGGGCACAGGGGTTTGAAGCCCTGTGAGGGGGAAGGTAGCTGGGGAGGATCTGCATTGAGACCAGGCTGGTGGAATGAGCCTCCCTCTGCAGTGTCCTTTCCCCCTCCTGGATTCTGCTGTCTCTCACCTTTAAAATCTGGCTTAAAGCCTCAGCAGATCAACCCCTTCCAAAGATTCTCTATTTTGCCTGGTTGGCGTGGCTCAGTGGTTGAGCATCAGCCTATGATCCAGGAGATCGAGGTTCGATTCCCGGTCAGGGCACATGCCGGGGTTTAGGGCTCGATCCCCAGTGGGAGGCGTGCAGGAGGCAGCCGATCAATGACTCTCTCATCATTGATGCTTCTATCTCTCTCTCCCTCTCCCTTCCTCTCTCTGAAATCAATAAATATTTTTTTAAAAAAAATTCCCTATTTTCCTCCCCTCCGTGCCTACAAAGCTTGCGCCGTCTGGCTCTCCTTAGGAAGAACTCAGGAGTTCTGCAAATGCAGGCAGGGCTGGGAGCTCCATGTACACTCTAAGCCCAAGACAGGATCCCATCGTGAAGTATCTTGTAGCCACACTTACCATCCTCTCTTCCAGTCTGCATATGCACACGGGTGGGCACTGCACACGCACTCACAAACACACTCTTGGCCACACCCTGCAGACCCGTGGTGGGCACGGGCTCAGCATGGGTACAGGAGCAGCACAGTGAGCACACACACTCACCACTCACCTGCACCCTTGGTGTGCCTAGAACTGTGTTGGGCGCAGTAGTAACCATGGTCTTGGGCTTCATGGAGCTTATAAGGAGAGACAAATGTGTAAACAGCAGCAAAATAGGGTGTCATCTTAGTTATTTGGTGCATAGGATTATCCCCACGTCATAAAGTTGGGGACCAGAGCTTAGAGAGGGTAATTTCTCAAGGACCCAACATTAGTAAATCAGAGTCAGGATTCAAATCCCGATCTGCTTGCCTCTAGAATCCACATAGTTGGCACTTTTGTGCCAAGTAGATAGGGATCCTCCTCTTCCAGGGCAAGGCACCCCTTCCAGGCCTTGGTGAGCAAAGCCCATGCCAGGTTTCAGTCCCCATTCATCCCTCCGCCAGGCATCCTTGTACAGTCACAATGTGCACACCCACACGCGACAACCCTGGCCACGCAGCTGTAAGAGAAGTCTGGTGCCCTGGCCAGGAGGTCAGTTGCTTGGAGTGTTATCCTGATACACCAAGGTTCTGGGTTCGATCCCTGATCAGGGCACATATGACAATCAACCAAGGAATGCACAAGGGAGTGGAAAAACAGGTCAATGTCTCTCTCTCTCTCTCTCTCAAATCAATCGATCAATAATGAGAGGCCTGGCAAAGCACTGTGGGGGTTCTGAATAAGGCTGGTTCATCCTGCCTGGGTTGGGGTGAGGAAAGATGCAGAGTTTACCTGCTGGAAGAACATTATAGACAACAGTCTTTCAAATACTTCACCTTGTTTAATCCTTGCAACAACCCCAAAGGAGGTATCCTTTGGCTTCTTTTAAGAAAAGGGAGAACCCAGGCTCGGAGGATATTCCCAGGGAGTGGCAAAGGCAGAGCCAGGAGAGAGACTCAGGTCTGCCCGGCTCCAGGCCCTGAGCTCTCGGCCCTTCCCAGGGTTTCCCTGCTGGTGACCCCTTCTTAGTCCTGGTCTCCTGGGCAGCCCAGCTCACATGGATCCAGGCTCCAGCTCAGAACTTACAGGAATCCTGACAGTGACAAGTCACTTGCTGTCGTGAGTTCACAGACAGGACCCCTGGACCCCTTGCTGGAGAGAAGCATCTGAAGGGCCCAGCCACGCGCTCACGCTGCCCTGGGACTGAGCAGGGCACGCAGCAAACGTGCTTGCGCCGGGGCTGTGGTGAGCCTGTGCAGGCTCAAACCCGTGGCCTGGTCTTTGTGGCACGGCTGGGCTCACCTCTGCTGCCCTCCCCCAATACTCCACTCTGACCCCTTCCCTTTAGAAGGTCTGCTCTGAACAGCAGTCGAATCCTGAAGCCCCACCACTCACGTTGATCTCTGGGCAAAGGCAGCCAAGAGGCAATTACAACAAGTCCAAGACCTGGGCATCCGCCTAAGGGAGCTCACCTGGCACATGACAGGTGCGAGTGGTACTGGCTCCCCCATCACCGGTACCAGTGAACTTCACACCAGTCACCGCACTCTCGCCCCCTCCATGGGTGACAGAGGAGAGGTGACTGTCTCCATTTCAATAGGAAAACCAAGATCAGACTCCAGCCGTATTTATCCTTCCGTTTTGTGCGTTCATGTAGCTTCTACCGATAGCCCAGCCATCCACAGCAGGTAAAATGCTTCCTGCTCAACCCCACTGAACCCCATTCCAGTCTCATCCCAGTAATAACACAGCAGTAACCCCCAGTGAGGAGGAAGTCCCTACTCTAAGACACCAGAGCAGAGGGCGGGATTCATGGGCTTCGGGTCTCCAGTCCCTGCAACAACCCAGGATGTCTGCCTGTAGGTCTGATGACTCCTGTGCCCCATTGCTCCTAGAGAGGTCTGGCCTGATCCTCCCAACATCTACCCCCCAGTTCCTCTCCTGCCAATGATAAGCTCCCACCTCCCACTCCCAGCCCACGGTTTTGGTGGAACTGACCCCACTTCCAGCCCCACAGGTAGGCACTGATTGGTTTGAGTCCATCAACACATCCCAACTGACCCAATCTGGGCCAGTGGAAGGGGGGAAATCCCTTGTGTGGGAGCTACCAGAAGAGTCCCTCTCTTCTCCTGCATGGTAAAGAGTAAGGGTGTGAGGGCTGGAACTGCTGCAGCCACTCCGCTGCCACAATGGGAGGGTCTGGAATTGCCAGGGACTTCTCAGAATGTGGGCTGGCAATGCAGAAGGCAGAACTGAGAGACAGAGAAACTGGGTCCTTGGTGATACCCGCTGAAGCCTGCACTTTTTCAATGCTGTGGGTCAAGAGATCCTTTTAAGGGTCCTCTAAACCACAACCCCCAGACAGGCCCCTCCCAGCGGCAAGGGCCCCAGGGCACTCACCAGGTTAACAAAATCCTGGTAGCAGATCTGCCCATCCGCGTGGCTGTCGGCCAGAGCCAGGAGCACCTCCCTTTTGTGCGGGTCCAGCTTGGAGCTGTGGCTCTCCAGGAGGCTGCGGAACTTGCCTGTGCTGATGTAGCCCGTGTTCCCAGGGTCACACTGGGGGAGACGCACAGACAAGCAGGGGGGTCAACGGGGCTCTGTCGCCCTCTCAGCACTGCCACAGGTGCCCCATCTCTATCACCACTCACCGGCTCCTGTCCCCAGCCCTCTGCCAACAGAGGCCCAGGTGGTGTCTGGGATGTTTCCAAGGCCCCCACGGGAAACATCCAAAACAAAGCTTAGACAATTAAAATCCCTGGCTGGTGTTGCCCAATGGTTAGAGCGTCAGCCTGTACACCGAAGGGTCTCGGGTTCAATTCCGGGTCAAGGGCACCTACCTGGGTCGCAGGTTCCATCTCTGGCCCAGTTGGGGCGTGAGCTGGAGCAACCAATCGATGTGTCTCTCTCACATCGATGTTTCTCTCTCCCCCTCCCCCCTCCCTCACTTGTACTCTAAAA